CATTTTTCTTTTAAAAATTTGCCCATCCCCCCGTTTTCCTACCAAAATTTTCCCGATCCCCCCTCGATCAATTTCACCTGCCCCCCCTGTCATACATTATGAACGCAGCCTTGTTTGAGCCGCGCAGGAATTGATTAACGGAACTTCCACTAGAGGTCGTCACTGCTCTATACGTGCACGTTTCTTTTCTGTATTTAATGCCATTTTGAGAGTTTTATTTGAAGGCCATATTGAGCAATGATATATTATTTTGAAGAAGTGTAGTTGTACCGGATGGAAGCCAAAGTAAATGGCTGAAGCTTCATAAGGTATTTAAAATTATTTTAGAACCAATTTTTCTATACTCCAATATTCAACACAAGATCAGCAAGTCATGCTTATGTTTGAGTAGGCTTATCATGTCTAATCGGTTCTAGAATTTATTTAGATTCATAAGTCCTCTTTAATGACCGAGGAAAAATGCAAGATAGCCATTAGCAAAATACATGCACTTATTTCAATAAAGTTAGTCACCTGAAAAGCTACAAAGCTGAGACCGACAACGATTATGGGTAGATACATTTTACATGTTTCAACCGCTTGATAACTGTTGATGGACTTGAGATCTTCTACCAGTTACAAGTTCACCTCCTCTGATCATCCTCAACTGCTGCAGTTTGTGTCGAAAGCTTTACTTGTTGAATATGAAATATTTCCCCTGATTCTCAGCGATCACAGCTTTCTAGGTTTTTGTTGACTAACTTTATTGAAATAAGTGTATACGGAGTAAAATAATAGCTGTCTGTTATTTTTGTGTCGAAACATTCTTGCCAAACAGTGCACGCGAAAGTCCGAATCTTGCATCACGACGCAGTAGTTTGCTAACTAAAGAGAGGACAGTATACCTTAGGATTTGGAAGATCACTTAGGGCACACTTGCTAGTTGCTAACTAGTTTAATAACCAATAAACATGTATACTTGCAAAAAYATCAAGAGACGAAGAAATTCATAATGCAAGGAGTGCAGCTATAAAAGTTCGTTTCCAAGGAAGTTCCTTTTGATGTTTACTACTGAACTGATGTTCAAGTTTGATGAGAATTTTTATAGTTCTTCCGCCTTTCAAAACCTTTTAGCGAAGGACTTTCTTGGATGTTTCCAAGAGAGCTAAAGACCTCCTTGAAGATCTGCTACTGTAGTATTCCTGTCTCCAAACCGCGTCAGGGAGGCACGACTTTATATAATGGCTTTACAGCGGCGGTCATGCTTAGAGTTAGTGTGTTTGTTGGTTCGTTCGCGTTAATTTGCTTGTTTGTTTGTTGGTTTGTTTGTTTGTTTGTTTGTTGGTTGGTTGGTTGGTCGGTTCGTTCCTTCATTCGTTCGTTCGTTTGTTCGTTCGTTCGCTGTTTGTTTGTTTTTTCTATGTCTGTTTGTCTGTCTACTGCTTGTTGCTTTATTTGTTCAGTGTCTGTTTCGTTGTTTAGTTGCTTGGACTGTTCGTTTTTTCTCATATTTCTTAACTATTTTTATACCTTTGGTACGGCGTTTATTTTTTATTGAACAACTAACTATTCAAATTACGCAATAATTTTGGTAACATACCGCACATCGAGATTTAAAGCCCGCGGAACCGAATGAAACACAAGACGGGATCATTAAAACAATAAAAACGTTATCGGAAAAAATAATCCCCCACACGTCTATACATATGTAAGAGAATTATTTTTATATATTTTTAACATGCATGATGTTATGTTTCCGTGGTAGCAAAATATTGTAACCGCCATTTATCCGCCTAAATGTGAAAGTTGTATTAATCATTCTTCTTAAATAGAAAGACATATTTGTTATAGTTTATCCGATGTACCTCATTTAATATTTATTGGATTATTTTATTCCCTTTCTTTATCGAGCTTTATCTGTTTTCTTATTACTTTAATTATCTTATTAGTTTTTCCAATACCCATGTGAATATAGCAATGAAATTTGACCGAAATGTTGTTAAAATATTTCTTTATTAATTTAGCTTACGCACGCATCATAATATCAGATATATTTATATATATTTTTAATTTTATGCTTTTATTCTTCTTTTATGCAAGTTCAACGTGTCACTGAACTAAATCAAGTATTGCACTCGCATCTCGCCTCTGGGATCTCGGGTTTAATTCCTGACTCAGCATCACATGTGAGTAGAGTTTGTTAGGTCTCTCCCTTGATTCAAGGGTTTTTCTCCTGGGTCTAAATTGGGTTTCATTCCTGGATTCAGCATCACATGTGAGTAGATTTTGTTAGGTCTCTCCCTTGATTCGAGGGTTTTTCTCCTGGGTCTAAATTGGGTTTGATTCCTGGACTCAGCATCACATGTGAGTAGAGTTTGTTAGGTCTCTCCCTTGATTCTAGGGTTTTTCTCCTGGGTCTAAATTGGGTTTGATTCCTGGACTCAGCATCACATGTGGTAGAGTTTGTTAGGTGTCTCCCTTGATTCAAGGGTTGTTTTTCCAGTTCTCCACATTTTCCTTCTACCGCAAAACCTATAACACGCTAAGATTTCATTTCAATCTGTGAGTTAGCCGTGCCCTGACATTGGCTTTGTGTTGTTTTAGGGTATAAAACTTGAAGTTCGTGATCTTTGCCGACTCCTTAACTTATATTAATCAAATATTAAATCTTATAAATATTAATCGACCTGGCCACAGAAAAAATATACTATATACACACAGGTAACAAAAAAAGATAATTCGAGGGATATTTCATTCAAAAGATTTCGCCTGRAAAAAAAACAACAGTCAATTTAAAAATAAGCTGTAAAAAATGTAGGTATCCCGGCCGTTCAAGTATTGATTTCACATTCTTCCTAAATCTCCTCAGAACCACGTTCACATTTGCCCGTTTTACGAACATTTGATTTTTCGTCTCATAGAAAAGGTATCGAAAGCTTCGCGTCGAAAATGTCTATACGGCCGGAGATGATGCTTTTTCGTCATTTGCGCATCAGAGTTTAGGAGTCGATCTATCTATTCGCAATCAGACGAATATTTCTGTTATTTGGCATGTAAGATCTGTATTACATCTGCTGCAAAAATCAACTTTCTTTAAAAATCCCACAGTTTATTCACGCGCAAGGCCTCAAGTTTACGAAAAAACCGAAACTTATCAAGTATAATCCTGGTTTAAAGCAAAAAAAATCTTCAGTACTTCCAAGTGGATGTTTACGGAGCTATTTTTTAAGGTGGCTGACTACTTTAGTAAATAATAAAAACAAAATTGACAACTGTAACTTCTTTAACCTGAAATTTAATGCTGATTTCAAATATGCAAAAAAAAAAAAAAAAATGGGGTGTCCCGAGCTTGTTTTCGAGATAATCAGAGCATTTAATGGATGCCTACGAGAGCGTTTTTGAAGCAAAAATTTCGCCAGCGGAAATGATCAGAAAAAAATTTAACTCACAAGATAATAGCTCTTTACAGATTCTATAATTGCACAAATGCACGCAAATACTGAAAACATTCTACAATCTGGATATTGTGAAAAAGACAAAGAAATGCATTTATTTGATATATTTTGTCCTTTCAGTGCCCTCAAAAAATCCCATAAAGTCGAACAAAAATTCCTACCAAAATCTATATTTTCGTGTGTTAGAAAAATTAACTTTACTAAATAGTTTAATAAACGTAGATTTTTAGAAGTTTCTTTCGAATRAGTTTTAAAAAAAGTATAGAGTCCCGTGCAAAATATGAGTGTTTTACCTCGAGGTTCAAAACGTGCCAGTCACCTTAAGAAAGTTCAAGTTTTTTTAACCAAAAACGAAGCCACTCAAGGGAAGTGGAAGCCTTGGATCCCACATGGCAAAGTATTGCAGCATCGCGATGCTCTTAGTTTTTAAGAAGTTGAGCGTCCAGAAGCCTAAGTGTTTCTAGAGCTGTGAGGAGCCCTGCAGTCTGTTTTTTTTTTCATTAAACGACTTAGTATATTTTAATTAACAACGTTGATTGAAGCCCAAAGATTGATCTATATTATGCGTACGACTTGGTGCATCAGTGACGGTAGTTTGCACTTAAAGGCTTCCACTGACGATATCTCTATTCGCAATTAGACAAATCTTCTGTTATTTGGTATGTAGAATATGTATCAATACCAATTAATAGACGACAGTTAGACTGTATTACATCCTCAGGTCAAGCATGGTTACTATAATACATCCTACCTAGATAAAACATTACGATAAGAGTACGATAGTATTTGACTCAGTAGCCCACATAATCATATCGGCAATTTGTAATAACCACGCATCTCTTTTCTAGGTACTTCATATACAGTAATAACCCGCGTATAAGAACCTAAAATTTAAGAACCTGTTAGGCTAAAATTTCATTTTTAAGCACTCTTCACATAAGAACCATTTTAGGCTAAAATCCTAAAACAGGTTCTTATTCTTAAAAAAGAAGAAAGAAATAGAATCAATCTTTTCAAAAATATATATCTATAACACAGTCTGTACACAATAATGCTATAAACACTATAACTGTACATGGTTACTGTAAAAAAAATCCAACTTAAAATGAAACTTTATTTAATTTCTTGAACAAAAGTTAAGAACCTAATTAAGAACCTAGTTAGCCTAATTTAACACTAAATACCATTTATATAAGAACCTGTTTAGGCTAACTTGAAAAATCCTAATTTCTTATACGCGGGTTTTTACTGTAATTCTCCAGTGAYTTAATTATCAGCAGTCAAATATTCTTTTGCTTTGGAAGCCAAATACAAGGGGGGCTATAGGATCCAAAAAATATACCAAACCAATGACAATGACACCGGCAAAATATCCTTTCTTTTCTATGTCTAACGCTATTACCGCCTCCTCGCCTACGTGGTAATGGGTTCGACCCCTGGAGGCCACCAATCACATGTGGGCAGAATTCCTAGTCGGCTCTTCTTCTCTAGGATCATTCGTTTTCCTTCCTTCGCAAAAATTAAGCCACAGGTTTGTTAGCCACTGGCTATTATTTAACATTGCTAACGACTACTGATTAAAGTCCTCGCTGATCAATGAATTTTGATGCATAGTGGACCCGACACTGTTACTGACTGATTGGTGCATGTACTGTACTTTACTCTTCTTCTAGACATTGCTTGCTCAGTTTTTGAATTCCCAGTTCACATATTTGATGATAATCAATACGAGATCAGTGATGCATAAATACAAGCGAAAGATAATTTTAGAAACAAAAAGTAGCTTCCATAATTGTAATGAACGCGCGACTGCATGCATACCTGAGTCGCTGTGACCGGAACGAACTTGCGAAGCGATCATCAATCATAAATATAGCCAACTATGAACGAGTTCATTATGCATAATCAAAACAAAATATTCGTTCGATTGTGGTGTTTCAATTAAAACGACCAACTTAATTCGAACCAATCTGCTCAAAACCAAACTATCTTGCAATTAAAGCCAGTACAGAGTCGAGGGCCTGCCCCAACCCCACACCTAGCTTCTCTTGATATTTAGAGAAGAAAAGTCGAGTTCTTATCAGTGTTTTCAAGGCTCAGTAGCTTAAATTAGGTAGTCATTGGTTGAGCATTCAACCTTGATGCTCTCAAAATTAGGAATTTTAAGGTTTATGGTTTTTAAGTCGAATACTAAAATGGTCTTTTGAATATTTTCGTTGGCCTCAAACTAGATATTTTTTGCTATGATATAAACTAATTACGATTTTGAGACGACAATACCACGAAATATTGATGGCTAGTTGCGATGGAGCCCAATAYCAGAAGTTCATAACTTCTGCCAATACCCAATACCATCTGACCGAATCGATTTTCGTTGATTAAAAGCGAAATTCTCCTTACGAGCGCGCGCTATGGCGCAAGCAACAAGCGTAAAAAGTTGGCGCACGCGCGCTCAAGCTTTCGTCGCACGTTAGCCAATCAGAAACCTTAATTTCGAAACGACAGTACCACAAAATATTGTCGTCTCAAAAATATATGAAACTATTTAGTGAATCGAGAGTGCATTATCCCAGTCTATGGTAATTGTAGCCGATATGATGGCACTTGACATTAGTTGTTGAACTGCGGCTTGACGTCACCGTCAGTGTTGCATATCTTCATGTTTTTTTCTGCGTGTAGTATTAAACTGCAACTCCCTCGCTCGTAAAAGTTCTCCGTTGGATCCAGCAGTGAATGTGTACTGGTATAAAGAGGACGTAGAAGAGATATTACATTTCAACAGGTATACTGCTTTTAATCGAATCATAGGCTCTTTTAGGAAATTTAGAACTCACTATATAGTAAACTAGATAACACGTGTTGGTGTGTGTGTGTGTGTGTGAGAGAGAGAGAGAGAGTCCTTTATTAATGACTTTAAGTTTGAAATAAACCATCTCACTACCATCCTTCTTAATGATATAGAGCTGTTTCGATGTAAAAATGTTTTGCAACTGAATAACGAGAATCTATGCAACATGTTACCTATAATACCGAGCCAATACATCTCTTTTAATGTAAATATAACAAACTTTTCATAACTTTGTATAGTAGTAATAAATTATGCGTTCGGTGTGTGTAATGAAATAGAGAGAGTAATGCGCGATCCATACGTAGCGCTTTTCATGTGCCGAACCTAATAGTATCTATTTGGCACATGAAAGGCTCGACGTATGAATCAATTAAGTTCGGCACGACTGGATTAGGTTCGACACGGTACTGAGCTCGACCGCGCCAGTCGAGCCGCACGGCAAAAGTTCAAATGCATACATTAAATTCCGCTGACTGATTTTACCGTTTACTCATGCTCAGAGTATTTGGCTCAACACATTAGGTGCGACGTATGAATCAACGTCGATCCTATTGTAATTGTGTCGATCCAAATAGGATATTAGGTTCGGCACATGAAAGCCCGACGTATGAATCGGGCCTAAGAGAAAAATATCAAATGCCCTTGCCGGGAATCAAACCCACGTCTTCGGTATTCTAGTCCGATGTGTTAACGCACTGCAATACAAGGACCAACCACGCCGGAAACGAAGCCGGAATATGAAATGTAGGGTACTCGTGAGGATCCCAGAGCGATATTTTTTCTCTATAGGTAAGTTGAATTATGTACGCCAAGGGCATTTGATATTTTTCTCTTAACTTTGTATAGTGAATTGCAGCTCGCGTCGTCGCGGTAAATTAATATAACGACTCTTGACAAGTCAAAACCAAGCTAAACCAACATATTTTACCTATCTTTTTGAACTTGAACTTTTGCTTACTTACACACATATAAATGTTACAAGTAAGTTTATGTATATAATACAATTTGAAATAAAATAAGAGATTTATTGAGGAAAAGAATTATCAGTGTTGTTCATGGTACAGTGTGTGTGGCTGTCGAAATAGTGTAAACTTTCAAGTCGTAGCCAAAGTATCTCGTTACCTAAAAACAGAATACTTATTTTTTTCTTTTGACTTTCAAAAATAACTTTTTTTTTTTTGACATTATATTACACCTTTATTAGATTTTACATCTCTCAAGTACCTTCACTCTTAATCTCCTTAAATTTTCTAATATTAATTATGATTGCTAAATTATAATAATGGGGAGAAGTTGCTCTCTATTATATAATATGAATATAGCCGTTGTGCATGGAGTCAATTGCGTCTGACGAAGATAGCTTGGTGATTTGTTGAAAACAGAATACTTTTGAGACTGAACACAATTATAGTAATGCCCTAATAGCTAGCTATTACTTGTACATTTGCCTTTAAGCCATTCCATGTTATAAGAGATATTGGATTGCCTTTCACTGACTATTTGAGCTAAGTGATTTTCAACTCGATTTTAGTGACGTTTTGAAGTATTTCATTGATTAAGTGACTGTGTCAATCAATTAGTCATTTAGCTGATATTGCGTTAAGACCTTTATCTCATAGGAGTTTCATTTGACGAGAACATTTGTCTCATTTGACAGAGCACTCGTCTTAATTCTTTCGCCGGAATAAAAACGAATCATTGAAATCAACTACACTTTTTTATTCCTGAGCTATTGGATTATCCCCACCCCCTCCCTCCTCGCAGGCCCATTGACGCAGGCGCAGAAGCTTAATAAAAAGAATTGATCACAAGATCAACTACACTTAATTTAATCCCAGATTTTCGTGTGTCACCTCTCACTAATCCGCTAAGTATGCTAGGAAATCGTCTGAGCGCAGCAATAGGCCCTTTTCCAACAACAGGTCACGTGACTCTACACCGGTAAAAAGAGACGCTGTGTCAAAGTGAACACTATAAATCGAAAGAGCACCTGAATATTAGTAAGAAGGCAAAGTTTTAGCTTATAATCTTGACTATAGGATAAATGGCATTAAATATAAAATTAAAAATTTCATAAGGATTTGTTTGGGAAAATGTGCTGGATTGCATAGCTTGCCATCCAGCACATTTCCCCATACAAATCGTTATAAAATATTCGATTTTGTATTGTTTGCAAAAGGCCTATCTGTATATTTGTTTGCCTAAAGAAAAGGATCAATCATTACCTACAGATATATTTTACTGAAGCTCACGAGGGGTGTTCTAGTGTGTCTTCCCTTCCTAATATACACCTATTTCAGAAATCGTTGTCGCACCAAAAGCCTCAAGCAACGAGCCAAGACCGCAGAGAACGCAGGTACTTTTAGCTGTAATTAGTTTTTTCATGGTGCATTTTCATTTATTGACTTTATAAATTGCTCCAAGCAAGACTGCTTGAGATGATAACTGGTGTAGAGCTATAGCTACTTGCATGAACCATGAATAAATGTGATCAAAATTAAAAGTACCGACGTTCTCTGCGGTCTTGGTTTGTTGCTTGTTGCTCTTGGTTGCGACAACGATCTTTTCAAATAGGTATATAACATTAGGCAGCACGGATGGTATCAGTATAGGTGTCGCCTCTCATCAACGCGCACGCGCGACCGGCCGGTGTTCGAATCCCGTACTCGGTGTGTAGCAAGTGATTAAAGTTGCTTGTTGGTTATCTTCTTTACTTCGAGGGTTTTTCACCGGTTCTTCTGTTYTCCTTCCTCCATATTTTAAACTACTAAATTCATACTTGATCTGACGTTTAAAGCTTAAGCATGAGCTGCCGGCCTCTTGCAGGGGAGACTGAGTAATTACTCCCCTGCATATCTTCGTAAAATAAAATTACATTTGTTCAATTTTTACTTCAACAGCCCTGTGACAAAAATTTACAATGGTGAACATGTCGAGCACAACAAACGACACGACCGTAGATACAGGTCTGGGGACCAATGTCCAGATCTTCATGTACAGTACCCTCCTCGTGATGTCCTTGATCGGTAACGTGCTCGTCATTACCGTGGTTTGTGGCAACAAAAACCTGAGAACTGTTTTCAACGCTTTCATCGTCAACATGGCTATATCTGACTTGTTCATTCCTTTGCTTGCACTACCGATAAAGATTGTAGAAGTTGCGACAGAAAAGCAAAATATCTGGATAATCCATGGTGGATTTGGTAACGCCACATGCAAGATATTCATATTGCTGATAGACATATCCCCCGGTGTCACAGTCTTCAGCCTTGTCGTTATAGCCATCAATAGGTTCGCTGCTATCGTGAAGCCTATGTCCCATGCTGAACTCTTCAGCATCAAAAGGTGTAAAATCATGATCGCCTTGACCTGGATTTCAGTGACTGTTTTTTTCTCACCTTATTTCTACGTCTACCGAACTACGACATTCAAAAGCTACAACGTATGTGAGATCGATTGGATAGAGCCATTTGACAACACGAAGTCCTTAATCATATTCACCTCCTTCCTCATCGTTATCTTTTTTGTTTCTCCTTTTACCTTGATAATTTTTCTTTACTCGATCATCATCTACAAACTCCATGCAGACTCCAAAACTGTCGTCGAAATGCTAGACAGTCAAGAGGCTCGCAAGAGAAAGTTAAGGAACAAACAAATCTTCTTCTTATCGGTGGCCATGATTGTCGCATTTGCAGTTTTCTGGGGACCATTCTTCATGTTTCTCTTCACAGGTTTGATAAAGCAAAACCTCGTTATCCCGAATGTGTATCTGATAGTGCAGTTTCTTGGATATACCAACTCTGTCATCAATCCATTGATATACTTCATATTTATGAGGAGGTTTAGGCTTGGATTGAAGCTTCTTTTCTGCAAGTGTTTGGAGAACGAGCCCCATAGATCGCCGACTGTCAGCAATACACGATCACTTTTTCTGACGACCAAAGACGGCGTAAATGAGGAGAAGATTAAGTTGAAGTTTATAGGAAATTGTTCAAGCAAGCAAGATTGTGTGGGTACGCGTACAGAGGACTGCAAGACGCCGACGCCGCCAAGTAATGAGGTTAACATGACCACAAGTAAGGGATGCTTAATTACATCTAGACTATAACGACACTCAGGAAAGTTCTGCAGATTTGTAGAAGCCAAAAGTGGAACCATTCTGGAGTTTTAAAGAATTATACCAACTAACTGTAGATACTCAGTTAAAAACTTATAAGTTAACATAGAAGATTGCAAGGCTACAAGTAAGGACAACTGTTAACCTAGCTATAATTTAAACTCAAGACCAAAATTTTGCAGATTTGCAGAATATCTACTGATGAACATATAAAGGACGGCTGAGCTGGACTGGAGTTTCTAAGTCCTCATACTGTAATAGTAAAGAGTACAAGTAGAGAAGATTGCAAGACCCCAAGTAAGTAAGGCTGTTCATCTAGACTACTAGACTGAAGTTACTCCATGAAGTTCTGGAGATTTGCCGAAGCCATCAAAAAAGAAAAACCCGAGCTAGTCTGGAATTTTTAAGAAATGCAATCGACTAATTTTAAAAGATAGAAATAGCAAAGAAGGCAAGTAAAAAAGATTGCATGACCACAAGTAAAGGAAACAAGAGAATATGAACTAAGAGAAGGAATTCTACCTATATAGCCTTGTAACTGTCATGTGCACAGTTTGATGCTATTTTTAGCTTGGAGATATTTTGAGCTAAGAACCTGATTGGTTGATTTCTCGAGGGTAGACGGCTTCCAGACTTTCAGTAAACAAAGCCTGTGTTTTTGTTGTGGACGTAGAGAAATATGGCGCTTTTCGTGTCCTAAAACGAGGCACTAAAAAGAAGCATGATTATCGCGCGATCATGGTAACGAGTTAAAAATAGCATCAATGATTCTAAAAATAGTATCAAAGTGTGCACATGATGGGGCACGGGGATTCCTTCTCTTAGTTCATTTTCTTTTGAAGGAAACTATTCCACCAGCTATGAACACACTAGCTAGTCTTATAGAATAATTCACTAATGTACCTGACGTGAAAGTATAAATTCTAAGATTTGCAGTAACCAGCTTAATTCGCGCACATAGTATACTAGTACAATTATAAAATAAGATCACCTTTCGAAATCTTTTCAAAATGAAACTATAAGAAAGTAAGAAAAAAGTTTTAGGAAGCAATGTAGATATTCCCAGCCGACATAAATCTAATCCTCGTAGGAAAAGTCAAACAACAACAACAACAATAAAAATAATGATGATGATGATGATGAAGACGACGACGACGATGGTGATGATGACAATGGCGATGACGACGACGATAATGGTGATTACAATGACAATGACAATGACAATAAAGATGACGATGATGATGACGATGACGATGACAATGAGGACGACGATGAAAATGATAAAGACGATAATGATGGCTATAGATAGAGAAAGATAAACCAGAAGAGCGAAAGGGATGTAGGAATAAAAGCCATATATCATAAAGTCCATGCATGTTGATTGGAACRAAAAAAAAAATTCCCCGTAGCCTCGAATTCAAGCGCTTCAAGACGAGACTACTAGGGTTTAAAAAACGCGCCCTTTGCCTATTTAAGGTCCATAAGGCACTGTCTTCTCAAATGTACATATATATCAATAAAGACAATCGGATTAACTGCGACAAATAATCTCCCATGTTTATGGATAGACATCACGTCGCTTGCCTTTGGGTATGATTTTTTCTCTGCTAATCGATATTCACAAGATTATAACCGAACGGATGTTTTGGTAAAATTATCGGTCAGTAAAGTTTCAAAAAATTTAGAAAATAACCGCTTATGGGAATCTCTAAAAGTACCGCAAGTAGAAATAGGTATAATAGACCCCTTCACAGTTCCCTGCGCCATCTTGAAAGGTAGCCGTGCCTTTGCATCGCATGTGAATAATTGTCCAAGGTGTTAAAAAAGGTCTCTATCATTGCAAGCTCACCGTTCGTCTCGCTTCGATGCAAAGGCACGGCTACCTTTCAAGATGGCGCAGGGAACTGTGAAGGGTGCTATTCATTTGCATCATTTTTTTAGAAAACTAAATTCAGTAAATTTGTAGCAAAAATTATTCATAGTAAAATAAGATATATAGGTTACGAAACCTTTATTTAAACAAGGTAGCCCATCCAGCTAAAAGCTGGTATCTAGAGGAGCCCTGTATGATAAAAAATATATAAAAAATATATAAAATATATATACATATATATATACTTATTTCAATAATGTTAGTCACCAAAAACCTAGTTAAAGCTAGCTGTGATCGCTGAGAATCATAGGAAATGTTTATATCCATCAAGTGAAGCTTTTGACATAAACTACAGCAGTTGAGGATGCTCAGAGGAGGTGAGACTGTGACTGGTAAAAGATCTCGAGTCCATGAATAGTTATCAAGCGGTTGAAACATGTAAAATGTATCTACCAATGATCCTTGCCGGTCTCAGCTTTGTAGCTTTTCAGGTGACTAACTTTATTGAAACAAGTGTATATAATACTAAATTGTATCAAACTAGAAACATTTACCATGAAATTGATAGATGCTGTAATAAGAATATGCTGCATGTTCGTAGTGTCCTAGTTATTAGGTCTATATAGTCATCCGCTACATGAACTGTGGGCAAACAAAACCTGTTTTAGAAACCGGTTTTAAAGCCAAAATATTCACATGTAAACCGAACGGCTTTTACACGAATGGGAAACGATACGGCAAATTAGTTGCCACACGTGCACCGTGACGTGCTGCATTTTGATTACATCATCATACTAAGCACTTTGATTGGATGATTCATACGCCTTATTTGGCTTTTGAAATAGATTAAACATGTTGGCGCGTAGAGCATTATGGGTCAAATAACAGGTATATCGCAATAACTAAGTTATTACTAAGTATTTAATCTCTATAACTGACTTCGGCACATGCACTTAAACACGTTTTTGTAAGTAAGATTACTATGATGGTGGGTATAGCATTATGGGTCAAATACCTCGCACATCGCAGTTAGCTAACATATTTCGTACTAATTAGTTAACTTGTACAAAGGTTTTCGTATGAGTGGGAAACGTACGGTACTGACTTACAGCAAGTACACGGTATGACATGCCGTAATTGTGTAACATTGAAATGGCTTCCCATAAGAATGGTTTTCGTACGAGTGGGAAACGTACGCTACTGACTTACAGCACGTACACGGTACGAGAGGCCATAACATTGAAATTTCTTCCCATTTTCTTCCGGTGATTGATCCAACCACAACGTGTAGTTACGGCTATGGTAAGATACGGTGAGGCTCTAGTACGGTTACGAATTTTTCCTTTTTTTACTCATACGGTGAAAACTACTCTATGACTGACTTCAGTACACGTATATACTCTTTAAAGTAGGATTACTTTGAGTGTCACGTAGATCCTGATTATGGGTCAAAATAAATAATATAGAATAGCCAACGTTCACCAAAAAAAAAGTTAATGTAATCTAATGATTGCCAACTGTCTCGTTTAGCCTAGTACCAATATCCTGTATTATCATATGACCCGTACGGCCCTGCTCGCGCGCTCTAACAAAACCATTGGAAAAAGTCACGTGATGGGGGCCGGACGGGTTTACGTAAGCGGGCCGGAAAAATTCGTCCGACCCTGCTCGAATCCGCGCGCTTTCTTTTTTTCAATTATTTTTATTTTCGTGAGGGTCATATGATAAAATGCTTATTGACTGAGTGGGAGGGCCGTACGGGAAAATATTTGGCTCTCGGTCATTTGTACGGACCTCGCTGCGCTCGGTCCGTAGGACATCACCTCGAGCCAAATATCTTCCCGTACGGCCCTCCCACTCAGTCAATAAGTACATATTCTTGTAGTTTAGTATATGTAATTTTGCAAATTTGGTATTACATAAAGATTGGTTGATCTATTGATTGATCCACAGAAACTATTTACAGTTCTGCTGCTTTTGATAATAACATATCTCAGTTCGTAACAATCAAGTTTAGATAAAATTGAAAATCGCACTAAATTAAATGAAAATGTTCTCAATGAGTACGTGATTTTTAGTTTGTCTTGATAATGGCTGCAGTTCCACTAGAAGTTTAAAACACTGAATTACTCTGGTTTTACACTCCGTCGATTTGCACAGCTGTTACATTCTTTGGCGTCAGACCGGTTCCATTGTTGGCGTAAACACCAAGTAAAACCTAGCTATCTGTCACGAAGTAGACGTCAAATAATTAGTCTTCGAGTTACACCAATAAACTGTCCTATCTAGCGTGGTTTACACTGTGGTAATAGTGCCTTGAAGTAAACAGGGCAACAAACACGAATAGGGACTTTAAGATTTGCAAAATCTGCGACGGCGACGTCTACCGGAAGTGTAAATAACTTCACTTTGGGTTTTCGCGCCTTCAAAGTCTGTATTCCCTGTGGATGWGTTGRCTTTACWGACAATGTTTTGAATAAAATTTCCAATGAACAGCACCCCAAAAAGAAATTATTTACACTTGCGGTTGACGTCACCGTCGTAGATTTTGCGAATCTTAAAGTCCCTAATATCGAAATGTCAACAACGAGAGATTCCACTCAAAACACTAAAATTTAGAGTAAAAATCGGTGTAACACCAAAAGAACCCAAGTGGAACCACCGCCATTAATGCACTAATTAACTAGTTTTATGATATGATGATGCCATGAGCTGAAGGCATTAATGATTAATAAAGAGTTAATTAACATTTACATCTCTATTGTCATTAATTCAGAATATATAATAAAACATATTATATTAGTCTACAGCAATAATAGGATAAGAGGGGATGAATGAATGGATCGACTGACGAACGGAGGGAAAGTAACGATAATGATAGCATGATGGCGTGTATTCCCAAACAATAAAGGAATAAATGGATAATATATACTGGATGGGATGAGATAGGATGGGATGGATGGAAGGATGGATGGATGAATGGGATGGGATGGGATGGGATGGGATGGGATGGATGGATGGGTGGGTTAATGGGATGGAATGGGATGGGATGGGATGGATAGGATGGATGGATGGACGGACGAATGCATGAGTATATGGACGGACGGACAGTCGGACGCGGGGGAAGGAAGGATAATGATATGATACCATAGTGGTTAGGTTTAAAAATCACAGGAATCTCTACCTAATCGATCACTCTAAAACGCTCTATCGCGCTAGGGTAACGCTAAAACCAGACGGAAATACAATAATGCATGACAAAATGTAACCTTATTACATAACGTACAAGGCAGAAAACAAAACCATATTTGTTGAACTTTGCAACAATGACGGATAAACCCAGTATCATTTTACAAACGCGGAGACTGAAAACAACACGGCAAGATGGCAGATTATCAAGGAAGTACATCGCCTCATCATGAGGTTTGGTACGACATTTTTCTACCTTAAAATGTCTTTCGTGTTCGATAGAGAGACGCCATCATGTTTTTCGAACAGAGTATCGAAGGTACGGCGCACAAACGTAACGGAGAAAGTGAAACTTCAGCGTCAGATTAAGTCGCTCGAGGCGGAACAATCAATGCGACATTACCAGTTACACATGGAGAAACAAAGCTTAATGAAAGACCTCTCGAAAACTAAAGAAATCAAGGACGTGGATTTTGTGGGTTTACAGAGAAGGAAACGTCTTCCCCTACTACAGACAGAACGCCAACAAGATTTCCAGTCTACGAATTCCGAGCAGGCAATTTATACTAGAGAGGGAAATCGAGAGGATGATGTATCTAAATCAAGGTCGAATTCAGCTCCAGTATTGCCTTCCATAACATGTCGCTGTGCAATAACGGGATGTCGTGTGAGGACGAGAAAAATTAGCCGAGGAAGTAGTTCTATGAGCTTACCAGTTACGAGAGAAGAGCTTGAATGGAATAACTTTGGTTCGGAACAAGCTTCATCATATAGTTCAGATTTGGTAACATTATGTGAAGATGAACATAATGTCCTCGTTCACGAGGTTCAAAGGCCGCAGCTTAGACATAGACATTCAACAAGTTCTGGGAATGATTGGAATATATCGTCAACAAACACTGGAATTCAAAAATATAGGAGTTCTAGGTGGTAGTGTTTAGTACAAATTATGGGCAAAGGAAAGGAAGAGCCGAGCGTTCTGGTCGAGTAAATAGATTTGAAACGAAAAAAAAATTTGATAGAATATATTTCCAAAGAAAAGTTGCGCTGTAACATATACATTTTTATACGAAAAAAAACCAACATGAATTTGGATAGACTTGGCAGAGGCCATTTGTTTTGGATCGCTTCACTATTTGGTATCTTATGGAACACTAGTGAACAGACCATGTTTGAACAAATCAAATACTGATGAACATGCATGTACCCTTGACTTTAGACTTATTTACTCAGGCTTAGCCTCGAGTCAGTGTCTAAATATTCACAAATACCAACAGTAAAGTAAAGAATACACAATTTCAACAATACAAGCACTTTGAAATTCCACGAACCTTCACACTGAACACATCAATATTCTACACAAAATTAATCGAGGCTAACCCGGAGCAACAAAGAGACCTCAAAACTTGAGAATTATGACATGCACTGTATCTTAAATGTTAATAAGTTAGATAAATTATCGAAAATCCGAGGCCTAAGGAATACGAAAATCAAATCCTAGTGTTAGTGAAAATAAAAATATTAAGTTGTACATATTTTTTAATACCCGAAGAAGAAAAAACAATAAATGTTTACTATATTTTCATTCCTTATAGACCTTTCGGGAATGGATAGTCATGTTCTGTTTCAGTTTGTCTTTTAATCCGGCCTCATTATCACCTGATATCCATTGTTTTTAATGAGCTCGGTGCATGGAAAGTTCGACTAAAAGCCTATTCAATTCTATACCGTATCTCTGAGATTCTTTAATTCTTTCCTCTAATTGAACTAAGTTTACTGTTAAGTCTTGCTCTATCAGCCATGATGGCTTCTGATTCTTTAGAAAAAGCTGCAATATTAAGCTTCACCTGTCTACCCCCCACAGTCATCTGCATGGCTCTGTACCCCTTGGATAAAGACTTATCGGGTCTAGCATCGTATGCATAGACGACCTCGTCCTCATTTTTAAGGGGTTTTCTCTTTCGCTTGTCATCTACCTTGAAGCTTGCTAACCGAGGAGGATGGGACATTCTCCTGTCAAGCATGCTGCTTCTTGCAGTCTGCAAAGTCACGTGTCCCTTTCCCTCAGTGTCTTTCCTTACACACTGGTTCCTAGCTTGGTTGCCATGGAATCTTACTTTGTTTATTTCACAATCATCAGAGGAATGACGACGATTCGACATGCGTGACGTCTTACCAGGAACAGACAGGTACGTTTTACCGCCGGTCCCTTGTACTGCGGACTCGGCCACGCATGCGCATCGTTCTTCTTTATTTTTAAGGCAGGATTCATTTTCATCGGCATCTTCTGAGGAAACAACTTCCTGTCCGTTCAAAAGAACTGGATTAAGGACGTCAGCATCTACTTCATCAATCGACGTTTTAGACGTCTGGGTTGGAAAAAACTCATTACATTTGTTTGCGTTTTTTGACCCTTCGTAAGGTTTTTGATTACAACTCATTAATGACTGTCTTGATGAATCGTTTCTTTCCTCATTCCTCTCAGTATCATGGTCCTTGGCTTTATTCTCTACAGCAAAACACCTAGAATTATATTGAGAAGAACAAGTTTTCTTTTCTGTGCTTGATGTGGAGARTGAGGGATTGAAACCGCTTGACAAACACAGCCTATCTTGTTTATGTTGATGTAATCCATCTAGTTTACTTTTATTAATAAGATTACCTTCAGATGTTGGTCTAATTTTTTCGGATGTTCCTTGTTTTCCTTCCATCAAACTATCCATTTGGTCTAATTTTAAGTGAGTTGGATGTTTGTTATCGTTAGAATTAAAAGGTTCAACTTCCGTGTCGCATTGTAGTTTCTTATTGTCGCTTGTCTTTTCATCTCCTCCTTTTCTATCTTTATTTACAAACACTGCCGACCTCATTTTAACCGGAGCAGACATTGTCCTTCTTGGTGATCTTGTTTTAAACTTCCTTCTTTGATAATTTGCCATTCTTTCACGCGCTAAATTTTTGCTATTTGCTAAATAATTGCTATCTTTAGCAGCTATCACTGTCTCAACAAACAGACTCCTTCCAGATGACGGTCTATTCCTAATGACATCCCATGAAGTTGTGGCGCGCTCTGAAGACGGCATCGAAAAATCATCGTTGAATTCTTGACGAGTTTCTTGGTCTGTTTTGGGTGTTGGGGTAGCACTTTGCAAAGTAAATCCCCTTCGTGACCCGGGCCGTAAAGGAGGTTCGATAACACGGTATCTTGATACTTGTGTTGGAATACTGTCGGTAACAGCACTGGTAAAGGAAAATGACCTCATTCTGTCATTGGGCCTGCTCTCCTAAGAAAAGAAGAAGAAAAAAAGATTTAAATGATGCGCAAATTGAACTCTTTTACCAATCATTCAATCAATCAATTATTAATTTATTCAATAATCCACGTACGAAATAATTTTTCTACTGTAATATCACTTCAGTCTATCTATCAAYTTCAATCTTTTTCTACTACTGAGCTTGCCAGTAACGTTTTGTCTCAGTATTTTCTCAACACAACTGCAAGCATATCTAGAAACCTTAGAATTGAACCCGCTAGGCGAATGTTTGTTTTCTAATTCTCATAGTCCAAAAATTTGTCTCTGATGCTATYATTGCGATGGTTTTGAGTAGCAACAACCTAATTATTTACTTTTTGAAGACTGCACACTATTTTTAGACATAATTTAAGACTTATGTCAAAGATAGATTTGTAGCACACCCAGGAAAAAAATTAAACAAAAAAATATTCATAGTAATTTTGCTAATTTAAAGAACCAACTCTGGAAAACTTACCGAAGACGAAGAGGAGTCTTCAGGACATTCCTCCACATCTTGAAGTTCCAACGACTCGCTTTGAGTACAATCTGGAGGATTAGCTAAGAGAGTCGCCCAGTTCCCAGCGTCTACCTGTAGTGAGTCACGATGGAGAATAATATCGTCTTCCTTTGTACCCTTACACACTCTAATCGTATATCCTTGTGATTTAAGCAACATCCTTCTTTCTTTGCTCAGACTTATCTTCTCCTTAACGCATTGAACAGCTTCCATTTTTTTCTTCAAGGCGTTCACCTCCAAATCGATGTCGATATTTTTTTGAGACTGCTTGTATTCAAGGGTTTTGATCTTCTCCGTAAGTAGATACGATTCGGTTCCATTCTTGTGGTGTGTCTTAAGGACTTTCTTGGAAACTATCGAAGGTTTTTCTTTGGTTTTGGTCGGTGCAGTCAACATGTTGTGTCAAACAGGGACAACTTGAACAATCTGCCCGCAGTATGTAGATCGTCTTAAACCATAAACCAAGAACGAATCCTTTATTGGGCAATTACCTTATTATGTCTGTTCTCAAAGTCCAACTAAAAACTCCATGACCTAAATTAATACTGTACTCATATAGTAGTCGGTTGCTATGGAGACGAGGTTATTGCTGCTAATATCCTGACCCTATAGTGCACTTATTGATTCTAACGTTACGAGTATTCAATCACCTAGTAAATTTACACCAACATAAAACATTCTAGAGCATCTTTTGGAATCATTTTCGTTGGGTCCTTGTCAATAATTATATCAGTGCGTCTTTAAGTTTTAGATCAAATCAAACAACTCTTGGATCTTCGATGAGTTTATTTACACATAGGCTTAACTATCGGATATGAAATAAATTTGCACTTTGCTATTGAGTTTCAATGCCAAGTTGATTCTATAGGTTCTATATGGGCTAAACTTGTAACCCACGGATCTCAAACTCACAAAATTTCCACAAATCCCTCGACCCCTTTAACAATTCCTAGAATTAGCTTTCGGGCTCGCGTGACTCTCAAATCAAAGAACTAAGTACCTATTAATAACACAGAAAGATGAACTAAAATAATTGCAATTTTGAAAACGTTTTTGCTAATAATAGATCATTTTTTTAAATGGGATATCAAACTCTATTAATCGATGAACCGTCTTCCTGACTCTTAGCATGGTATTTGTTTTGTCTGGAAGCTCAAGAGGTTTTCTTAAAGGACCCTTGAGTTTATGTTTGTTTTATGTCAATAGTATTATATCAGTAATGGCATGCAGCTGGATGTGCTTTGGGAAACGGAAGCAGAATTTGATCATATCGTTGTCATCGTCGTCATGTATTACAGTCCCACATAATCATCAACATTACCTCACAATCATCTATCATTGTCGTGCCAATGCACCATCGCACCATCACAATGTATCATTATATGATCACCATCATCATTACCATGCATTACCATCTCTTCACCATTATTATAATCAACATCACCATCTACATCATTTATGTTTTATTGTTGGCATTACCACCTGCCATTGCCATCAGCATCTTCAACACCACCATCATCATCTGATCATGAGTCATCATCATGCATTAACGACCCATCACCGCCATCATAATAATCGACATTGCCACCACCATCAAGTATCCTGTATCATCGTCGGCATTGGCACCTACCATCATCACCTTCAACAGCACCTTCATCACCATAAATCATCATCATCATTATGGGTCACTGGTCACCATGCATTAGAAACCCGAAACACATCACCAACATCAAAATCATCAACATCCCAATCTACATCTGCATCATATTCGACATTACATGCGCACTAATAGTGTCATAAGCACCTTTACCAGTGTATCATTATCATTATCAACGACCATCACATCACTACAATTCACCAACTTCCTCATCATCATCATGTATTATCATCGCCGCCATTAACAAAGTACCACTGTCATCAGCACCAACATTAACATCATGCGTCATCGTCATGCATTAACAATCCAACATCATAATCATCAACATTCCATATATCTTCATCATTGTCGACATTACCATGGCACTACCGCCATAAACATCATAAGCACCTTCTCCAGTGTATCATTATCATCATCAACGACCATCCCATTACCACCATTCACCAACTTCATCATCATCATCATGTATCATCATCACCACCTTCATGTATCATCATCATCGCCATTAACAGCGTACCACTGCAGCCATCTGCACCAATATCACCATCATCGCCTTTAACAAAGTACCACTTCCATCAACGCCGTCAGCACCATCATCATGTTTTATCGCTATTATAGCCACTAACATTCACGCCATCATCATCATTCTGTATCATTATCTTTATTTTATTGTGCTCTATTATAAATACTCAAAAAATATTTAAATTTACAGTTACATTTTTACCTTAAACTATTTATATTAAAACACCCATATTTTCTATTTTAGTACATAAAAGGGGTTTGAATTGTTTTCTTTTCACTTGTCGTTTCTGTCTGTTTCGATGCATGTTCTCTAGTTCTATCATCAGCAAGTTTAGCAGCCGTCTTTGCCCTTACTCTCTCAACAATATCATCATTAGAAAACTTTGGAACACAAAGCCTGACCTGTTTTCCACCAATGGTCATTTGCATGGTTGTGTAGCCCTTACTTAAAGACTTTTCTGGTCTTGCATCGTATATTAAGTCCTTCGTTGCTGTACTTATCCTTCTATCTGATCCAGGTCTACGATTTGTCGTTGCAGAACTGTTGGCGATCGAATTGAATGACTCTGTTCGAGCTTTTGGATAGTGGCCAGTGTTTTTGTGTTTGTGATATTCACTTGGATTTTGTATCCTACTTGTTTTTCTCATTGGATGTTCTTTGGTTGGACTAGCGTCCCTATTGTTGGCTGACTCGACAGACCGTGGAATGACGTCCACATTAATACGCATCTCACGATCAATGTTGTTTAGGGGTTCTTGTGGGGTATCATCATTTTTTAAAGAAAACTTTACATCTTCTATAGATCTTCTTCTTTGTAATAATTTCGAAGGTTCTGCGGGGAGGGATTGTTTTCTTTGGTGTCGAACTGGCGTCCTGTGAGAAGAAAAACAGATCGCAGAAGTTTTGCGATTTTTTTTCTTTGGGTCCTTTTCGATTACTTTCTCAACACCAACGACAGAAATAGTTGAGGTGTTTTCCAATGAATCAAAGTTATGCTCCCCATTTCTTTGTGGTTTTTCCTTTCCTATTCTTGGCGCGATTTCATTTTTTGAGTCACTCACGCTGTTTTGGAAATGTATTTTTCGTTCTTTGGTATCGATATTATTTTTTGCAGCTGTAATTTCATCTTGAAGCTGTCCATTTTGTTCAGAAGGCATCCCGGTATCATCTTTAAGCTTTTCTAAACTACTTCCTAAAGTTTGAATATTCTCTTGATTGTCTTCATGGAATGAATTACTTTCTAGATCAATTAGCGACTGCCTGGTCTGACTTCTTGGTCTAATTTTTTCCTTAGTTTTACTATTTCTCCGGCTTCCTATAGCTGTTTGTGCTCGTGCACGATACGGCGACTTCCTAAGACTATCCATGTAATTATCACTTGGTGGCAAATCCATTTCGATATCCGATTCATACTCTTCATCAAAGTCTTTGAAGTTTCTCCGGCTTCCTGGATGTAAAGGAGGTGTGATGATCCTGTAGTGAAAAAGTCTTTTCTTTTCGTGAGTTTCTTCATCACCCTTGCAGCTTTCATTAGCAGAATCCTCGTCATCTAAGTTTCCTTCGACGTTGAGTTCAGAAAATTCAAGACTCATGTCTAAATACCTTCGTATAATTTGTCCATCATAGCATTCCTTCCCTCGAACCAACACTTTTTTTCCATCTCGACGACGCAAGGTAATTCCTTCGTCTCGTAAGCCAGGCGATGGCAAAACAAACACTCCTTTTTCACGAAGAAGTTTTCTTCTTTCCACACTTATTCCTAAGTTGTTTTTAAGCTTCTTAATACGGTTGAGGTTCTTACGAACGCCATCAATTTCGTCGGATATTTGGCAATAATTGTTGTGGATCTCGTTGTCAATTGTACGAATTTTTCCTTGGAGACGGAATGTTTCTACCTCGTTTAGACGGTGCGTTTTCAAAACTCTTGTAGAAACAACCGAAGGCTGTTCCCTTGTCTTTGCGAACATTTTTCCTCAAAGTTTTTTTTTCCATAGCTTTACATGATTACGTTAAACCTTTGGACAGGACAGCCATGTTGCATAAATTCTAGTCGTCAAAATAGTACGAAAACAATCCAACGAGTCACCTTTAGTAATTGAGCAGTTTACTCACTCACTATTGTTGTCACAGTACACTAAACAGGCCAATCAAAGTCAACTCAAATGACGACGGACAGTAACTTTAGAAAATCAAACCGTTAACATAATAATTACTCATTCAATATTAACATCAACATCAATTCAGTTCATGTTGACTTTACTAAGCTCGTCGATACGTCCTAATGGAATATTTGTACTCGTAGGGAATGTTTTTGTGATATACTAATGTCAAGTATTGGCCAGAGAGTGTAATTAGGACTACTTTATAGCAGTTGAGGTAATGTGATTTTTAATACTCATTGTGCTCTTTAATCTCTTGGAACAAAAGACGTTCTCTGCTTGGATAAAGGCAATCAATCCACATGGAACAATGTAGGCCCTGCAGAACTTGAATACAGTCGTATTATTCAACCAACCTCGATTTTAAGGCCGTGTGCCCCTAACAACRAGGTTCATTATTGAAACCGGCCTTGTCCTCTCCTAGGCTTTCCCGCACACAGGCCCACTAAACAACCCAGTCTTAATAACAGAAGATCTCTCCTGCCACCCGGGACTGAAGTACGACGTGAAGGTGGTCTATATCTGACACCTCCATGACCTTATTTCCATGAAAATATAGCCCATAATTTCAAAAAAATGTACTTTTTTCAAAAACATGATTTAATTTTTCAGTGAAAATTATTAAATACCCATAGCCATATTCACACAGAAACGTCTCTGTGATCAGTGCCCACCAGTAAAAATAACTTAGCCAGTGCAAAAGCAAGAAAACCAAACACCATGGACCAATATCTTGATAAATTCAACAAACATGGCGGCTCTGCTGTCACATGCACCAAACAGACACCAATAAGTCACGTGTTTATTACCCAAAATAACCATGTGACGTTCATATCACGGCACGTTTGACATACGGTAAGTATACGCCTTTTTAAGCTACGGAGCTGCCCTATACATGATGTGCCAAATTAAAAAATCGCCCGGCAGCTATTAAGATATTTGTATAAAGATCATATTTCCTAGTCGTGAACAAAGAGGAATGTCATTAACGAGATATAAGAGGAACACTGTCTCTGACAATATATATTACAGAAACACTAAGACTACGTCGGTTCGGGAAAATTAAATGAAGTTATTAATAAACATTCTTCATTTTTCATTAATAAAGCAGAGTGATTAGACTCTGGGAAGTAATTTGTTCATCAATGTTGTCTTAACGAGGACATCGATTGAAATCACGAAGTCCCAAGATGTCCTTTTCTTTCGCTGGCATTCCGTTCCTCATCTATTTCCTTGGGTTATATCTAAACTAAAGAAGCAAGTGTTTCCGCTTCTTATCTGTACACGAGATCGTTTATCATCTTAAGCAATCAGTCATGCTGTCTATGGAGTGAGGACACGCTTGATTTGCTGAAAATATTGATGGTAAAGATATAGCCAGAAAAATGGTCAGAAATCTCGCTAAAAACTTGAAAAAAATAAAAAAATAAAGAATGTAAAATGAACTAGAAATCCGCACCCAATATGTATTGTCTTTCTCTCGATCGCGTGTGATTCTGTGTAAGGGGGAAAAACATCTTCAGACTTGACATTAACATGCTTATTTTCAAATATCTTCAGTTTT